AATGAACCCCTTGAGTCCATCGTATGGACCCTATGGGCCCAACACTTACATTAAGTGGTCCCTGGGCCAAGCCATCTTATAAAAACCCAGGGACTGTGGGCAGGTGCAAGATTAGCCCATCAGGTATTATCYTAAATGGTCTTACACTTAACCTCTCAGCCCTTGATAGCCAACCAAGGAGATATCGCCTCTACACTGAACAAGTCAGTAGATGGTGTCAAAGTTGCCTAACAGAACTAGTGTTGAAGAAGCCTTTGCGAGCCATTAGAGATGAGGGAGGAGAAGAAAAGGTTAACCAGATTTTTCTCGAATTGGCTGCTGGAGGTATAATTCACGGAGTGGGAGTAAAAGTTGAGAATGGGGTCTTGAGCTTGAGTGTGCATTAGAAAGAGAAATAAACAAGTATGGAATAGGAGTAGCTTCATAGGTTGTCAATTCACAAGATTAATGTGAAAAATTGGTGGGGGAGGATCGATATGTGTTGGGACTCAGTTGTGATGGTGGTGGTGGACAATCGGATGTGGACAGTGGAAGTGGAGGCCACGGTGGAGGAGGATGGTGGTGCCGGCAGTCAATGTCCTAACACAACTGCTTATTTGCTTAGGCTGTGGTGTGCTAGTGCTCAGGTGAAGTTCGAGAGGAGGTGGAAAACCTTGAGCCAGCAAAGGAATAAGATAGCGGGGACATTTTATAATCTTAATCTTCTTTTATATGTGAAATATGCACGTGCTCTGATGCTAACGTGGCGTCCTGCAACTGGGAGTGCAAGAATTTGTGTAGGATATCCAGATCCGACAAAGTAGTCATTACTTATTAGTATTTCAAAACTAAGGTGTTGTTTGGCATGGATGATAATTTCTCCTTGCTGGTTTTCCAGAAATCAATTAGTGATTTTTGAAAATCATCAAAAAATTGTTGTTTGGTATCATTTATACCATATATGTAAACTAATTTTTGAGAAATTGGCTTTGACTTTGTTTGGTACTGATTTTCAAGGGCCGATTATTTTTGTATTAGAGTTATTATATAATGCCATGTCATCCTCAAAAAATTGGAATCAATTAAAAATCAAGAAATCACCTAGAAAAGGTTATTCCTAAAAAGGGCCGATTTCAACAATTGATTTTTGGCTGATTTTCCAGAAATCAATATAATCGGCCAACCAAACAAGAAAAAAATCATTGATTCTTCAAATTCTAGTGTGGATCCTATGTGGCATCAATTTCTGGGAAATCATCACGGATGCCAAATATCACCCAACTTATCACATAAAATTCTCAAAATAAAATTAAAATTCAAACCTGCTTCTATCGTATCTGATTTACTAGTGAGTGCCATGGCCGAATAAAATAAATAAATCATTGTAATTACATCCAAACACCATAACCACTAGTTGATGTACATGAACCCATCTCCCTCTTGTGCTTGCTTTTGACTCCTTCGGCAAAACGTAGTAGGATCTTTGTTGTTTTGAGCCAAAGCACCACTAATTTTCAGTACCAAAATGAAGTTTTCTATCACCACTATGATGAATACTTAATGATCACAAGGACTTGTTTTATCCCCTTGATTCTTAATGGCTCAATCCTTTTCCTTCTCTCAAAAACAATGTTGATAAGAACACATACACACAAAAGGTTGAAGGTTCAGAGGTGGAGAGAATGTAGATGTATTGACTTTGGAACACATACACATCTATGCCAACATGCCCCAAAACACCCCACAGCACATCCCAACTGTGTATTGGGAATATCTCCCATATGACAAATATGGGAGATGTTCCCAATGCATGTTTAGATGTGCATATGGTGTGTTTGTGGGGTGCGCTCTATGGGGTGCAGATGTGAAATCTCTTCCTAGACTCCAGATCTCTTACCTACAAGAACTCTACCCATACCTACCCACAAAACACTACCTTTGTGCACTGGAAACATCTCCCAGTGCATAATAACATGTAAGAGGATGAGATGTTTTCCATGTGTGGCTGTGATGTTATATGGTAGGTGTGGAAAGAGTTGTCATGGGTAGGAATTCCGGATTCACTTTCCAAAAATAATGGGATTTAATTCCCTATTTTCTCTCAATTAACAGGTCCATTATGCCTAATTAAATGGGATCATATTCAAGGTTTAGAGTATCAGAAACGCCAAGTGTATTAGAAAGACAATTTTAAGAGACGTATCGAGATATGCCTTGGATATGCATGTGTATTGGAGAAAAACTAAGATGCGCATAGATACACTTTGAAACACTATAAATACTTTAATAAATCATAAAAATACGTAACAACACTAAATATAAAACCTAAATGAGGTGTATATACATTAAATTAATATATTTTAATGGTTTTATGAAGAAATATATTGTAGTTAATTATAATTTCATTAAAAATCCTATACTTAACTATAATTTATAAATTATAATTCTTAAGTTTTAATGTTTAATGGATGGGAAAAAACTAACTCTCTTATCCAACCATAAAATATGCATTAACACAACTTCTAAGTGAAAATATACTTAATAGTTATTTATTATTTATTATTTATTTTCAAAATATATAAAAAATAAATAAGCATTACAAAATATATTCAAAAAATATTTATTAAAGAAGAAATTTCAATTGCCTTATGGAATATATAATAGATGATCCATAGAATTAAAATATATTCAATCATTATGATCAAATGATAAAAATAATTAGTTAATTATTTATTTTTTAATTCTATAAATATAAAAATAAAAAATATTAAAAAAGAAATTTCAATTATTGTGATCAACCGATAAAATATAATTAATTATTATTTATTTTTATTCTAAAAATATAAAAAATTAAAAATTATTACAGAAGAAATTTCAATTGCTATATGGATATGATAGATAAATCTATAGATCTAAAACATATTTAGTCTTTATACGCAGAGAAAAAATTATATTTTCAAATTTTTTGTTAATTTATGTTTTCCCCAAATATCTCATGAAATTTCCATAAATCTATAGATAACACAAAAAATGTGATTTTGGATCTAAGAAATATAGATTAACATAAATTTATACATTCAAGAAAAAGGAAATCATAAAATATTATAAAAATTTGAAAAAAAATTACCTATTCTTTACCATATTTTTAAAATTTTGAAAAATCTTAAAAAAGAATAACGATTCACACTTGTTTCTTGCAAAATTTTGCAAATTTAGCACTCTAAGAATAACGTTTAGAGTTTTAGAGTCATTTGGGGGGTGAAAGAATCTTACTTTTCCCCTTTATTTTTTTTTTCGGTATTTGGCTGTATTTTTTTCGTCAATACGCTACCGATACATCCTGATACATCTCTAATACACCTCCGATACACCTTCGGTATGCCCCGATACGCCCCCGATACAGGTTCGATACGCATGAAAAAGGATGATACACACGATTTCCATGCGTATCCTGTATCTGTTTTTAAAAGATATGATACGATACGCCC